GAATCACAGTTAGGGTTTAAGCATTCAGAAAAAACTGTAACCTGATCTCTGTGAAACAGCTGTTTGGGGGTTATGACCACCACCCTCACTCAAAACCTGCGACCCCGAGTGACCAGAAATGATCTCCTGCTTGACTTACTGGAAAAAGCCCCCTGACTATAACCCCTGGCCACAATTAGTTACTTTATTAATTAGTTACACACAATAATGTGTGGATGCTTTATTGAGTTCCTGTTTCTCTTTATTCTTTATTATTGTGTGAATGCCACTCACACTATTGAGTTCCTGTTTCTCCTTATTCTTTATCCTTTATTATTCTTCAAGTTGCTGCTTTCTTTGCTGCTTAACTACTCCCTCAGTTTTCAGCCAATTTTCACCGTTCAAACTTTAAACTCTTCTGTTCTTTGTGCTAATGCCTGCTTGCTGGGCTGAGCCATGTTTTAGCTCAGTGAGATGAGCAGCTGTTCTCAGGGCAGGAGGGCGGGGTTCAATTCCCGCTCATCGCAACATTTTTTTCAGTTAACAGTTCAATCTTTCAACTCTTTTCAACACAAATGTCCGCTTCTTCACCACTTTTCAGCAACATTTTCAGTGTTTTCACCTCTTTTAAGCACAAATTCCAGATTCTTCAGCTAATTTCAGCACAAATTTAAGCTTCTTTACCTCTTTTCAGTTTCTTCAGCTCTTTTCAGCATAATTTTAACTTTTTCACTACTTTTCAGCACAAATTCAAGCTTCTTCAGCTGTTTTCAGCACAAACTTCAGCTTCTTTACCTCTTTTTTTAGTAGAACGTCTGCTAATTCACCTGTTTTCAGCGCAAAGTTCTGCTTCTTAACCTCTTTTCAGCAAAAACATTCTGCTGATTCACCTCTTTTCAGTACAATTTTCAGCGTTTTCACCTCTTTTTAACACAATTTTCAGCCTCTTCTGCTCTTTTCAGCACAATTTACAGCTTTTTCACATCTTTTCAGCACAAATTTCAGGTTCCTTATCTCCTTTTTGCTGAACATTCAGCATTTTCACTTCTTTTCAGATTATCAGTGGAGTCCCTGATTTTCCTTGCCCGGTTGAGCTGTGTTTTAGCTCAGTGAGATGAGCAGCCATTCTCAGAGGTCCGGGTTCAAATCCTGCTTGTGACAACAACATTTTCAGTTCACAGTTAAACTTTTTTTAAACTCTTTTCAACACAGATTTTTGCAGCTTTTCATCTTTTTCAGCCATTTTCAGCAGACAGCTTCACCGTTACAGCATCCACACAGCACTTTCGCAGGAAATGCAAATTTTTCTAGTATAAAATTGAATCAAGAGAAAAAGTCTCCTTTTAAAACTCGTTTAGTTACTTTTAATCTTTTACCTTTATGCACATTACATCAAGCAAAATTAAATTATATGCAAGAAGAATTATGACTGGAAGAAATTTGTTTAACAGTTAAACCTATTTTCTGCATATTCCAGCATATAAAATATTTTTTTGTGTGTGTCTACACTTTCACGCTTTCACATAGATGCAAATAAAACACAGCAAAAAACAGCAAAAAATGAAAGATTCAGCAGCACTAAGTCCTGTCGCTCTTAAATCTTAAATTTTCACCTGTTTAGCAGGAGTGGGGCCGGTGGAGGTTTGCCTGGTGCAGCAGTGGTCATGTCACTGGGGGGATCCGGGGGTTCCTTTGTGAATTGCACATTCCCATTGCAGCGTGCTAGGTACTTGCTCAGATTTCAAGTTTAATTTTTTGCTGTAGAAAGAAGTTTTCTTCCCACGCAGTGTACAGCAGACGCTCATGTTTTTGTCACAATCAAACTGAAAGTAATGTCAGTACTTCCAAGCTTTAAAGGCTGCATGGTCGGACACTCTCCCGCACGCCATATTATCCATTGTTGATTTGCACACGTCTGTTGCTACCACGGACGTCGCACACTCGTACGTCATTGTCATGAGAAACTCTCACAAACAAAATCACAGTTTAGTAACGCAGTGAGCTTGTGGGAAAGTAACAGTAATCTAATTACTTTTTTGCAGTAGTAATCCCTTACTTTACTCGTTACTTGAAAAAAATAGAATCAGATTATAGTAACTTGTTACTTGTAACACGTTACTGCCCATTTCTGCTTACAGTGTACTTGTTTCATTGTTTCCTGCAAAAACCTGACTTGTTGCCTGCAAATTGCATGTAAATACAGGGTATTTGCAACCTTATTCGTGAGTCATGTTTTAAAGTGGTTTTTGACATGCAAACTACAGAATATTTACATCTTCTCCACAACTTATCATCGTCACTGAAGCACAGCAGCCACAAGAGGGCAGAAAGAGAGAGCGATAGTAGCAGTCAGAACAGAATATCACAGATTACCTGTGTTAAAAGGCAGTACATTTACAAAGCTTTAATGCAGTCATATTCTAACCTAAACACAAGCACAAATGCAAATGCATTCACCAAATGCACAGAGTGTCCAGCATGACTG